GTATGTATGTATGTATGTAGGTATGTATGTATGTATGTATGTATGTATGTATGTATGTATGTATGTATGTATGTATGTATGTATGTATGTTAAAACCAAATCGTGATGAATGACACCAAACAGTCAAACATTTGATTAAAAGGGTTAACATTAATATTTTCCGACACACAAACACGCAGAAATCGCTGCAACAAACACGAGATGTGGTTTATTGCAAAAAAGAACTCTCTGTTGTCACCTGACCGAACACCAATCATTTTACACAATGTTTTATGTATGTGTGTATGTGTGTATGTATGTATATGGCATGTTGTAGTAAATTTTATAGTATTGTTATAATACTCGCTGTCGTAACCGATTTACGATGCGACGGGTTAAAATCTTCGATTGAATAAAATATTCCAAACAGTTATTAAACTTTATTTACAGAAGAAATCAACTATTATTAGTTATTAAACTTTATTTACAGAAGAAATCAACTAATCGTTTATTTCCAGTAAATTCGCACTAACGCAACAATTAACTTTTAAATCTTTCAAAATCTATCGCTATGACAACGTCAACAAACAAATCAAATATCGCTTTAAATAATTCACCGAATCGCTATTCACAAAATCACGAATTTCACTCATAACAAATATCTTGCGACGTGCGCTTTTATACTCTTCGCAAGCGTCGTTTCTAGATTCTTCCAGATGGTCCAATTCCAGCATACTCTAGAACGTTCCAGTCACTAGAACATTCTAGAATACGCTAGAATCTAGTGCGTTCGGTAGCACGGTTATAACAGTATGTTAGTTGATCTGTTAGTTAGTTCGATCAGTTGATTCGATTCAGCGGTTGATTAATTGATTGATTCAGCTTTTTATTAACGGGCTAATTTGTAGTACAGTATCAAACAGTATCATATCGAACAGGTTAGTATCATAAAATGAACCAAGATACTTTTATCACCAATTTTAGAAATCTCTCAACTTGATTCCATTGCGATATCGATGATGATAATGATCGTGACCTGACTGACTAAAATTCATTAAAGAAAATTTTATAAATAGGATGGGAAATCGTTGGAGGAAATGACGTCATGTAAACAGTAGCTATTTAACTGTGTGGTGGTGAGAGTTAGCCGTTATGAAGATTCTATTTGATACCAATCAAATAAACTTTACTAGAACATTATATATATTTATATTGTTATATTTAAGCATTCCAATTTTGCACAATGGGTGTTAAGGTGTGATCTCAAATTATTTTGAATTCTTTCAGAAGAATTTAAACTACGTATTTACATACGTAAAATTAATTACTGTTGGTTTTATAATGGATTTAAATATACAGTAAATATCAGAATGTTTTATACCAATTGGTTTCTTCTCGATCGATATTTTGCTACATTTGTTTGTTTAAAGATTTTTTAAAAAATTGACACTTTAAAAATTTTAATTTTCCGTCATCTTTCGTCATTGAATGATATCCAAGCAACTGCTCTATCTTTCTTTACCAGAAAAAGGACAATCATATCACTTATAGAGACAATGGATATCAAACCTCCGATGCAATATGTAGGACATACCTCAAAACTTCGAAAGCAATTATAAATGAAGACGAAGAAGAATAATAGGTGCATATAGAACATGAACATCCAATTACTAAAGCCATTTATAAAATTCCAACACGCTGGACGGCAAACTAGAATCCTACGGCTATATGCATTTATTATACATAACTTCAGTTGCCAGGTTGAATTCTTAAAAAACAAACACACACACACTCATATACACACACACATACATACATACAAACAAACATACACACACACATATATTGTTCTAAAATGTTGATTGAACAAAGGGGTAATAAATTTTAACTTTGAATTTTTTTGAATGTTTTTATATTTTTTATTAACTTTATTATTAAGTGGTTGAATATATGTGTGTGTGTGCGTGTGTGTGCGTGTGTGTGTGTGTGTATGTGTGTGTGTGTGTGTTTCCATTAATGTAGGTATATGGATATTTGTTTATTTTTCTAGCATTTTTAACTCTCTAGTTGAATTTTTTGTAATCACGCACTTTTGGAGTAAACATTCATCCATTCATTCGATTGCTCTTTTGTTTGTTTATTCATTCATTCATTTATTCATTCGTTCGTTCGTTCATTCATTCATTCATTCCTTCATTTATTTGTATTTCCTTCTACTCGTTCGTTTGCTATTTAGTAAACTACCAAGAAAAAAAACATTAACACTAACAATAACATCTAATACTAACACTAATTACTAATAATAATCATTGTAATAATAATAATAATAATAATTAATATTATTATTATTATTATTATTATAAATAAAAATTAAAATAAAATATAGATTTAATGTCATTTTTATTTTTATCGCTGAGGCGTTGTTACGATAGAACAATTTTCGCACGGTTTTTTTTGTTTGCTTACGCGCGCGCGTGTGTTTGTTTGTGTGTGTGTGTGTGTGTGTATGTGTGCGTGTTGTGGTGTCTGTATGCTTATGCATGTATGTGTTGCATGAATAAGTATATGTTTGATGGTTTGTATGTTTGTATGTATGTTTGTATGCATGTATGTACGTATGCATGTATGTATGAATATGTGTTTGTGTGTATGTGTGTGTGTGTGTGTGTGTGTGTGTGTGTGTGTGTGTGTGTGTGTGTGTGTGTGTGTGTGACGATGCATGACGATGCAATGTTTGTTAAAGCACGTGACTTAATTGTTTGTTTTATTAAAATTTCTTTAGTAGTAGTGGTTGTAATGGTAATAGTAGCAGCAGTATTAGTGGTTGTAGTAGTAGTAGCAGTAGTAGTAGTAGTAGTAGTAGCAGTAGTGGTAGTAGTAGTAGTAGTAGTAGCAGTAGTGGTAGTAGTAGTAGTAGTAATAGTAGTAGTAGTAGTAGTAGCAGTAGTGGTAGTAGTAGTAGTAGTAGTAATAGTAGTAGTAGTAGTAGCAGTAGTGGTAGTAGTAGTAGTAGCAGTAGTGGTAGTAGTAGTAGTAGCAGTAGTGGTAGGAGTAGTAGTAATAAAATATCTTTTTATCGCGTGCGAGGTACGCTGGTGGTCATGCTTACTGTGATGTTGTAAAAGTCTTTCAAAAGTAGAAATTTAATTCAGTTAAAGCAGACATCGATCAAATATGGGGAAAATATGATGATGAAGAAGAAGAAAAAGAAGAAGAAGAAGAAGTGGAGAAAGGTAAAAAGAAAGAGGAAGAAGAAGAAGAAAAAGAAGATTACGAATAAGTATAATACGAAGAATAAGAAAAAGAAACAACAACAACAACTACAACAGCAACAACAGACAGTTTTGACAACAAAAACTTCACTAGCAAGAGCAAAACCAACAAAGTTATAACAGCCGCACCACTGAAAAATCCAGAAATTCGAAACCATAGATCAAAGGCCAAATGAAAAAAATTCAAAATAAATAAACAGAAAAATAGTTTTTTTTTTCAATGTATAAGATCCAGAGGCTTATTTATATATGACCTTGACATTATATAAAGGTCAAAGCAAAAATATGTCTTTGCATGTTTTAGGTATATTGTTTGTATATAAATATGAGTGTGTATGTGTGTGTATGTGTGTGTGTGTATGTGTGTGTGTGGGGGGGGGAGGTGGGGGTGTGATATGTTTCTAAAGCTACCCAAGCGGTAAA